ACTTGACCTGACCTCAGAGGTCACCGGTTGACCTAGGACCTTAAAATCGGGTACCAATCTCTGCGTCTCGTAACGGTGCACACGCTCGTTTTTTCCGCGACGCGCTAGCTCCACCAGGGGCGAAACGGCGAGGGGGGGTCGTACCCGCCCCCCCCCCCCCTCCCCCCTCGGCCGGCGCGTATGTAGAAAACCAATAGGTCCGGCGAGGGTTAATTATACCTACCTAATGGAGACGTCGCACAACTGACCTGACCTTAGGTCATGCTGCATAGGTCACAGGTCACAGATATAGAAATTCTGAGATATACATTTCATGAATAGTGTTGCTTTCATCAATCGCTGAAAGGTTCAAAGCAATCGTTCAGTCGGTATAGCAATGGTAAGCATTTGAACTTTTTCTTAGGCTAGGTCACTTGGCATAACCTGGTGACCTGACCTTCCATCGCCCGCGTCAGACATTTTTACAACATGTGCAAAAAAAGATGCATGATAAGGTATGCTGAAAATGGCAGCGCTGCGCGCAGCCGTTTTTCAGATATTTGCGAAAAAAACTGAGCAGGAGCGCGATAACGCCCCCTAGCACGGCGCGGGCTTTTAGCTCCCGATTTTGACGGTTTGGCGCCCCCTTTGTATGGAGCGCCCCCGGATTGCCAGGTCGCCCCTATTTCGACTTGCCGCCCCCCCTCCCGAAAATTCCTGGATCCGCCCCTGGACCTAGTGACTTGAAAATCATTGACAATCTTGATTCAGGGCAGGGGCGTAAGTCGTAACCACCTAAGCGGACAGTGCTGAAGGTCGGCACCATTTTTTACGGGCGCCGAAGGCACCCCTCTCTGTCTTCTGTTCAGTACCTATACCTATCTTTGCCACAGACGGTGCCCTACCCTTAGTAGCGTTTCACGACACAAACAACTCTCTTTCTACCGAGGCGCCCTTTTTCGCATGGAGGCGCCCTCTTTAGCTTCACAGGCGTCTCTCTATCACATGCAGGCGTCCCAATGGGCATCAGCGGCGCCCCTACAGGTCTCACAGTTGCCTCTCTTTCGAATGCAGAGCGCCCCCTTACGCATGCAATGCAGATTGCACTTGCAGGTAGACGGTAGTTCCAGGTCCAGCAGCACGGCCGCTTTTCCTGTGGGTCCGCAGGTGTCTGTTGAGATTTGCTAGCCTGGCAAATAGTGCCACGCAGATGGAGCAGCCGTACGGCCTCTCTCCCGTGTGGGTACGCATGTGTGCGGTATGAAGCGTCGATTGCCATGCCTAACAAAACGTGCCGTACAGATGGAGCAGTCGTAACGTCGCTCCCCGGTCAGTCCGCACGCGTCTGGTCAGGTGTGACCATTCAGTGAACAAGGCCTGGTTATGTGAGCAGCCGTACGGGCCCTCCTCCGTGTGGGAACGCATATGTACCTATGTTGAGGGCTGGCCGTTCAGTGAACCGTGCCTTCACATGGAGCAGCCGTACAGCCATTCCCGTGTGGGTCCGCAAAAACGAAACAACACTTCAAAAGCCGAAACATTATCAACACGCGTTTATTCGGCCATGACAATATTTGAACTTTTAGTCGTGCATAAACAAAACACTGCAGCACATAAAAAGTAGGTATTGGTTCATACACATATGTCCTGATGAAAACTCAGTACATTCCTCTATCTAGCCATGCTACTTTTATTTCACTCTTTGGCGGCACGTAATCTGCCGAAAGCGACAAGACCAGAAACATAGCAGTGACGCCTGAGATACAGAAAGCACATATCTAAGAGTAGCTGCGTTTACATAGGATGAACAGAAACCTGTAAGATTTAAACGACATGCCGACATACATTTGACCCGCGACTTGTCGACGAAGGCTGTGAAGAAAATAGGAAATACTGCAAATACTGGAGTGATTTGAAGTCACAAAAAGAGGCACTATCTAAATATAACTGGATATTCTCCACAAATCATAGCGCTACAGCGCTTAAAAAACGACACTTCTTTTCTAACCCTAAGCGAACAGTTTCAACACAACGACTGAATCATCCTTAGTAGCAATAAAGAAGCCAGACGTGACACCGGTAGCCACGACGCTCATAAACGAGAATCACAAATTAAACACTAATATAAAACGTACGGCGGCCACTCATGCATTTCAAGGACAAGTCTCAGCGTTGTACCTACTTCGCCAATCCCTCCATTTGCCGCATCGGTCATAACAGTGTATTACATAATTCCCAAAACTGTGTACCAGTTTCAAGTGACTTTCTATGTGCCGAACTACTGAACCGTTAAATAGTAGTTGCAGCAGTACAGCCGCTCTTCGCGTGGGTCTGCATGTGTTTGGTGAGATTTCCTCGTTGAGCAAACCGGGCCTGGCAATGTGAACAGCCGTACGGCCGCTCCCCCGTGTGGGTCCGCATGTGTTTGCTGAGATTTCCCCGTAGAGCAAAACGGGCCTGGCAATGTGAACAGCCGTACGGCCGCTCCCCCGTGTGGGTCCGCATGTGTTTGCTGAGATTTCCCCGTAGAGCAAACCGGGCCTGGCAACGTGAGCAGCCGTACGGCCGCTCCCCCGTGTGGGTCCGCATGTGTATATTGAGGGTTGACCGACGAGTGAACCGTGAAAGACACACAGAGCAACTGAAAGGCCGCTCTCCGCTGTGAGTCAGCATGTGCGTATTGAGGTGCGATCGTCGAGTGAAGCGTGCCTTGCAGATGGAGCAGCAGTGCGGCTGTTCACAAAATGCAGCAGCAGCAGTGTGGGTCCGCATGTGTTTATTAAAACCTGATCGGTCAGTGAACCGTGCCGTGCAAATAGAGCAGCCGAAAGGTCGCTCCCCCGTGTGGGTCCGCATGTGTGTGATGAGGTATGACCGTTGAGTGAACCGTGCCTTGCAGATGGAGCAGCCATATGGCCGCTCCCCAGTGTGAGTGCGCATATGTTTGATGAGGTTTGACCGCGTAGTGAACCGTGCAGTGCAGATGGAGCAGCCGTGTGGCCGCTCCCCCGTGTGGGTCCGCATGTGGGTGTTGAGAGTTGACCGTCGAGTGAACCGCGCCATACAGATGGAGCAGCCGTACGGCTGCACTCCAGTGTGAGTCAGCATGTGTGCCGTGAGGTGTGACCGTTGAGTGAACCGTGCCGTACAGACATCACAGCGGTGCGGCCGTTCCCCAGCGTGAGTCCTTTGGTGGTGTTTCATGTTTGTGGACCTGTTGGTCGAGTACTGACACCACTCGCACTTGAATCTGCCGTTCCTGTCGATGTGGCCGTGACTTGTCTTCACGTGTCCATCCAGATAATGTTGTCCCGCACATCTGAAGCCGCAGTGGGGACATTGGACCGAGCCACTGATGCCTGAAGAATACACAGAAGAAAGATCATTAACCAAGTTCCGTGCACAAAGCAGGTAGCACACGCACCGAAACAACAACGACGCCCAGAGATGACCCACGCAGCTGGTCGCGTTTCCAGATCACCTTGGTGAGCGCCGTGGACGGCAGCGGCAATGCTGACCTGACAAGCCATCAGCGCCCATGAGTTGATCCGTGTATCGTTCGAAATACAGCCTTCAGAAACGGAACGCTAAGCTCGTTTAGAGAATATTTCACTTGCCGTTTATTAACTGGCGCATGAACAGAACTCCGAGCCAACTTATCCGTGAAGGAAAATGATAATTTGGAACACCAAAAAATCAAAACTTTAAAGATAAAGAGAGCGAAAACGTAATCAATTATTTATCAATCCGATGCCACTTTAGTTGGAAGAACCACACCGAGGCAGATACACCTCGGCCGCAGTTAACGCCACTATCTAAATTAAATACATACATGACACAAATGGTTACATTCAACATTTTCTCTATATCTTGATACAATGCAATGCAAACAAACTGAAAGGAAAAGACTGTAAAACAGGCGATAAAACTTAAAAATAGCCGAGAATTGATAAACACATTTCTTCGGCCATGACAATATTTTCTTCCTTTTACATGAAAGCCATAACACTTAGGAACATATGGTAGGTATTCGCTAATGGAGAGGGGTCCTGCTGAAAACTCAGTACAATCTTCAATAGAACAACGCTACTTTTATTTTAGCCTTTGGCGGCACATAGTTTGCCGACGGCAACACGACAACAGTCAACAACTTGTCAAGTCAACAACATGTCAGGCTTGTAAGTACAGACAATTTGTACAGCGTACTCGTATCTTACAGGAGCCGCCCTTATACAAGATGGATAGAGTTGTTACTGAGCGAGCGGAGTCTTTCCTTAGATTAACGGAAATTTCTGAGTATGAGCGGCCGGCCGGCCGGCCGTGCGGACGCTTTTGCGAGGCTTATATCTCAGCAACCACTTGACCGATTTACATGCGGTAGTTTTTGTAGGGTAGCTTCATTCCTTCTACCAAGTATTGGACTATTCCCGATGCATGTGGGTGACCCCTTATGCACGTGCCACGTGCAAAACGAAGGGGTGTCAGTTTTGTAATAGTTGCAGTATCTCGGTAACTAGGTACTTGGCCGATTGCGCTGAAAGTTGGCACGTAGGTATGCACCCACTAGGCAATGCATATCCATGTGCCAGAGTTGGGGTGCTGCTGCACGTGCGCACGTGCAGGGGTCGATTCCAGATCTCGAGAACGGCTGGACCGATTGCGCTCAAATTTGGTACGCAGTTACGGACCGGTTAGTAGGGTGCCGTGCAAAAGTCAGTTGGGACCCATTTTGCACGTGCGCATGTGCAGAGTGCCGCTTCCAGATCTCGAGAACGGCTGGGCCGATTGTCCTCAAATTTGGCACATCGCTAGAGACCGGTTAGTAGGGTGCTGTGCACAAGTCAGTTGGAGGTACCTCCTCACAATTTCGCACGTGCAAGGCCCACCCTCTCGCTCGCTCCGTTAGTCGCCCAAAAAGGCGTTATACTGGTATTGTAAGCTTTACATACCACGCCGATCTCCTTTCGGCCTTCGCCTTGTCGACAAAGGCCGCGCAGAAATGCTATGAATAAAGGAATGAGTGGTGGTCACGAAGAATGTATTGTCCCTCAACGTAGCTGGACATTATTCACAAATCACAGCGCTACGACACTGTACCAAACAGCGACACTCCTTAACTCATATGTGGAGGCGGATAGTTTAGAACACAACTACTGAATCACCGTGTGTTAACATAAAGAAACAAGATGTGACACTCACACGGGTAGCTTAGAAGCTCACAAACGAGAACCACAGCTACACCTTTTTACGGCTAAATATAGACATAGTGCACGCAGCTCAGTAACAGTGCAACCGATTGCGACAAATCGCCCAGACCACGGCATACTGTCGGAATCGCCCGCACTATTACTGAAATGTGCGCACTGCCGCCCTAAATTGGGCGTAAAAAGATGTATAACACTAATATATCAATAATCAAACGTATGACGGCAGCCGGTCATGCACTTGTCAGCATATTTCAGCATTGCATTTCGCCAATCAAACCATTTACCGCATCAGTCAAACCTGTGTAATTATCAAAACTGTGTACCAGTTAAAATCGAGTTTTGCGTCAAACTGCTGAAACGTTAGAAGTGGCAGCAGTGCGGTTGCACTTCGCATGGGTACGCATGTGTTTGGTGAGATGTGCCCGTTGAGTGAACCGAGCCGGGCAGTGTGAGCAGCCGTACGGTCGCTCCCCAGTGTGGGTCCTCATGTGTTTGATGAGATGTCCTCGTTGAGCGAACCGTGCCATGCAGATGGAGCAGCCGTGCGGCCGCTCCCCACTGTGAGTCAGCATGTGCCTATTGAGGTGTGACCGTTGAGTGAACCGTGCCGTGCAGATAGAGCAGCCGTGCGGCCGTTCCCCCGTGTGGGTACGCATGTGTTTTGTTAGGGTAGACCGTTCAGTGAACCGTGCCTTGCAGATGGAGCAGCCGTAAGGCCGCTCTCCCGTGTGGGTCCGCATGTGTGTAGTGAGGTGTGACCGTAAAATGAACCGTGCCGTACAGATATCACAGCGGTGCGGCCGCTCCCCAGTGTGAGTCCTTCGATGGTGTTTCATGTCTCTGGACTTGTCGGTCGAGTACTGACACCACTCGCACTTGAATCTCCCGTTCCTGTCGATATGGCCGTGACTTCTCTTCACGTGTCTGTCCAGATGTTGCTGTCCCAGACATCGGAAGTCGCAGTGGGGACATTGGACCGAGCCACTGATGCCTGAAGAATACACAGAAAGAAGAAAGGCCTTTGAAAACGTTCCACGCCAAACAGGTCGCACATACACTGGAACAATCACGACGCCGAGAGAAGACCCAAGCAGCTCGTGGTCGCGTTTCCAGGTCACCTTGGTGGGCGCAGTAAGCGGTGAGCGGCTATGTGGACGCGACAAGCCATCAACGCCCATGAGTTGATCGGATCCCTTTGTCGTGCGAAATACAGCCTTCACAAACGGAACGCTGAGTTCATAAAGAATAGTTCCCCTGCCATTTACTTAGCGTTTTCTTTTTCATACATAAACAATGCAAACCAATAGCAAACACAAAACATTGACATAGGTAGTAACACTACAAGGTAGTGAAAATTGATAAATACTGTTTACTTTGTCATGGCAATATTTGTGCTTGCACACAAAATACCATAATAATAACTGTACCTATAGTTTATGTAGTAGGCGCATTACGTAGGTATAACTTCATAAACGTGTCTTTGCGCAAGCTCAGCACATTCATATATACCTACAACAATGCAACATTTCATATCAGCCTTTGGCGACACGTAGTCTGGGTAAGGTGGCACGGCAGAAAACACTCAGACAGGCTTAGAGGTACAGACAGCACGTATCAACAATAGCCGTGTTTATGTACACGATGAAAAGAGTCTAAAAATTTGCATAGGATGTCGACCTACGTGAGACCGGCGCCTTGTCGACAAAGACTGCGCACACGGAGTGCTTCAAATTCTGGATGGAGTCAAAGCTACACAAAGAAGCATTATTTCAATACAACCGTACATTCTTAACAAATTATAGCCCTACGGCGCTATAAGAAAGCGACGCTCCTTACCTCCTATGTAAAAGGGGGCTAGTTAAAAAACACCACTGAGTCACCCTGAAAAGTATACAGAAAGCAGATATGACACGGGTAGCCACGAAGCTTACAAACCAGAATCACAGCTATCACACTATAGTCTGTTCCATATCAAGCTTGCAGTCGGAGTTTCTTCGGCAGATCGCTCCTCCGCTCGAATTTGCGTCTTAAAATGCAAGAGCTGTATATACAGAAATCACGCACTGCTTTCAACAGGGCACTTCGGCTGCAAACTTGAAACGGAACAGAGTGTAACATCAAACGTACAACGGCGGCCTGTCATTACTTGTTGGCACTTCTCGGTAGGTACTGTACAGGGTGTCCCAAAGTTCGTTCTCACCTTATATTTGCATGTAAAAGAGTACATTGCGTTTTGATATGTTTATGACCCCTAAATGTGCTCGTCATTTCATAAGCAAACACATGAATACATGCTGCGGCATACCAACTGGCATGTTTGGCAGCATAGCAGGCTTGAAGTTAGCCAAGACTGACTTGACATGCGCCGTGAGCTCGTCGAGGCTGGAACAGCACTTCGCTTCGACGAGCCTCGATTTCAATTTTTCCAATACATTTTTATGAAATTTCGATCCGATGAGGTACCTGGCATGTGGTCTTGCCACAAACGCCTGTCACAGTCTCCTTGCACTGCTTTTAAGCTTTGCTTGACCTCTGTACTGATGCACTGTCTTGCTTGAAGATGGGCCTACGACCTCCCGGGTGTCATTTTCTCCTCCAAAAATGTGTTCATACTTGGGGTTCGAGTTAAGCTAGAAGGCTGAAACTCCTCCTAGATCTTCAGTTCTTGGTGAAGCATTCTGCGTCCCAACAGTGTTTCTGGAGTATCAATCGCAACCTGCTCAGCGTCTGGACGCATATTACCCACATTACGGTGACCCTGGCCTTTCGCATAGGAATAAAGCGGGATGACACGAAGGCCTTTACCGTCGCCCATATGGGACCGTTTTGAGGTTGGACGGGTGTTTTATCTCGAACACGGACTAGGTAGTCCAGATGACCACATTGATGTCATCTGCCCTCCAGTTTTTTTAGCCTCAGGAGTCAGGCATAACGAAACAAATGTTTGGCCATTTTAAGACATTCTCGACTGTTTTGCGTCCTCCGGTAAGTTTAAGCCCAAGTGACCGTGAGTTATGTACCCCGAAATAATACTCTTAGACAGCTCTGGTAATCCATCCTGAAAAGCCTGCTTACCAACTTTCTAACGCTAAGACCTTTTTGACGGCCACTTTGGCGCCATATATTTTTGGCCACATGGCTCACTCCTGAGAGGTGACAAAAATAGAGCATAAACTTGCAGCGATTGACTCCCGACAAATCATCGGCGTCACTTGCTGACTGTGCGTCCAGTTAGCGACAGACATTGGCTACAGGCTGGATGGCCTCAATCATCCTCAACCGTCGTGAATGGCCCAGTGCGGACTAAATACCGAGACGTTCCCGTATCGGAGACCTCTTTGCTGCGGGGTAAGGCGCCTCCACAGAAGTGAACTCTCTAGCAAAAAATATTGTCTAGACGAATGAGTTACCGTGAAGCATATTCACAGTTGCAATGGCAACCCCAAAAGCTAAGTTCCAAAATAAATCAAGCGAGGCCTTAAATAAGAGAGCCTCTTAAAGAAAAATATAGGTGAGAAGGAACTTATGGGACACCCTGTATTTCGCCAATCAAACCATTTACCGCATCGGAGATACCTGTTATTCTCCAACCGTGTACCAGTTAAAACCGTATATTGTGTCAAACTGTCGAGCCGTTACACAGGAGTAGCAGCAGTGTGACCACTCTTCGCGTGGGTTCGCATGTGTCTGGTGAGAGTTGCCCGTTGAGCAAACCGTGCCGCACAGGTTGAGCAGCCATACGGCCGTTCCCCCGTGTGGGTACGCATGTGTTTTGTTAGGGTAGACCGTTCAGTGAACCGTGCCGTGCAAATGGAGCAGCCGTACAGCCGCTCCCCTTTATGAGTTCGCATGTGTCCAGTGAGGGTGGACCGATGAGCGAACCATGCAGTGCAGATGGAGCAGCCGTAAGGCCGCTCCCCCGTGTGGGCCCGCATGTGTGTAGTGAGGGCGGAGCGTGTAGTGAACCGTGCCGTACAGACAGAGCAGCCGAACGGCTTCTCCCCAGTATGGGTGCGTATGTGTGCCGTGAGGTGTGACCGGTTAGTGAACCGGGCCTGGCAGTGTGAGCAGTCGTACGGCCGCTCCCCCGTGTGAGTCCGCATGTGTTTGATTAGACTTGATCGTCGAGCGAACCGTGCCATGCAAATGGAGCAGCTGTACGGCCGCGCCCCCGTGTGGATACGCATGTGTCCGGTGAGGTCTGACCGTCGAGTGAACCGTGCCTTGCAGATAGAGCAGCTGTGTGGCCGCTCCCCAGTGTGGGTTCGCATGTGTCCGGTGAGTTTTGACCGTTCAGTGAATTGTGCCTTGCAGAGGGAGCAGGCATACGGCCGTTCTCCCGTATGGGTCGGCGTGTGTGTGGTGAGAGTGGACCGCTGAGCAAACCGTGCCGTACAGATAGAGCAGCAGTGGGGTCGCTCCCCCCTGTGAGTCTTCCGGTGACGTTTTATGTCTGTGGACCTGTCGGTCGAGTAACGACACCGCTCGCACTTGAATCTTCCGCTCCTGCCCAAGTATTTGTGACTTGTCTTCACGTGTCCGTCCAGATGTTGTTGTCCCAGACATCGGAAGTCGCAGTGGGGACATTGCACCGAGCCACTGATGCCTGAAGAATACACAAGAAGAAGAAAGGCCATTAAAAACGTTCCATGCCAACAGGTCGCACATACACTGGAACAATCACGACGCCGAGAGAAGACCCAAGCAGCTGGTGGTCGCGTTTCCAGGTCACCTTGGTGGTCGCCGTGGGCGGTAGCGGCAATGTTGACGCGACAAGTCATCAGCTTTCCATGAGTTGATCCGTTTGTCATTCGAAATACAGCCATCAGAAAGGGAACGCTGAGCTCGTACAGAATAGTTCACTTGCCCTTTATTAACTATATCACAGGGTCAGAAATCCGACCCAACTTAACCATAAAGTGAAGGGCCTATTTGACAACACCAAGGATAAAAATTTGAAAGATAAAGAGAGGACAAAACGCAATCAATTTTTTTCTCTAAGGAATGTCTCTATTTGGGAAAACTCCACCGTGGCACGCACGCCTCCCGTATTCCACACCACGACCAAAATAAAACATACAGGATACACAAGGTTGCATTAAATATTTTCTTTACATTTTAATACAAAGCAATACAAATAAATAGCGAGAAAAACACGCGTTGAACAAGTAATAAAACTTAGAAATAGCCGAAAATTGTTATACACGCGTTTATTCGAACATGGCAATATATGTGCTTCAACATGAACACCATAACACTAAGACACATGTAGTAGGTATTGGTTAGTAGACATGTGTCCAGTGTCCTTAGGAAGTGTCAGTACATTCTTCAATAGAGCAATGCAAACAATGCCTTAGGTGGCACATAATCTGCCGAGGGCGACACGACAGAAACACCCCGTCAAGCTTGTTAAGTTGTAGGTACAGACAGCACATAGCAACAGTAGCCGCCTTTATGTACACGGGATGAATAGAGTATAAATATTTACATAACATGCCAACCTACGTTAGACCGGCGCCCTGTCGACAAAGACTGCGCACGTAATGCGGAATGCCGCAAATACTGGAGGGAGCCAAAGCCGTACAAAGAAGCATTTTTTCGATATAACCGGACGCTCTCAACCCATTAATGCCGGAATTTTTATTTTTTGATTCTTAAGTTATCCTTAACAAATGTTAGCCACATGGATCCCAGTAAAAAAAACTGTGCAAGCTTTAAAAAAACTGTTCCATCGGTTCTCAAGTTATAGGCATGGGCCATAAATGACCCAACCGGCATTAGTATAGTCACAAATGGGAGTTATCACGTAAACTGATTTATCTAGATACCTTATTGTGTATAGGTACTGTATACCTACTGTATGGCGGTCTCAGCCAATCAATATTAAGACGCACTGCATTGCAATGCTTTGCGACGTCTCATTGGCGAGGCTGGTGGTGCCGCTGGCAGGCCTGTGGCGCCCCTGCTAGGCTTCTGGTGCCCCTGACACTG